TTTAGGTCTTCTGCCCATTTTTGAATTGGGTTGTTTATTTCTTTCTTATTGAATCGTATGAGCTGCTTATATATTCTGGAGATCAAGCCTTTGTCGGTTTCACTTGCAAAAATTTTCTCCCATTCCGTAGGTTTTCTTCTTGTTTTACTTCTGGTTTCCTCTTCTGTGCAGAAGCTTGTAAGTTTAATTAGGTCCCATTTGTTTATTCTTGCTTTTATTTCTTCTAGGAGAAAATTTTTGAAATGTATGTCAGATAATGTTTTGCCTATGTTTTCCTCTAGGAGGTTTATTGTATCTTGTCTTATGTTTAAGTCTTTAATCCATTTTGAGTTGATTTTTGTATATGGTGTAAGGGAGTGTTCTAGCTTCATTGTTTTACATGCTGCTGTCCAGTTTTTCCAACACCATTTGCTGAAGAGACTGTCTTTATTCCATTGTATATTTTTGCCTCCTTTGTCGAAGATGAGTTGACCAAAAGTTTGTGGGTTCATTTCTGGGCTACAGAAGAAACTTTTAAAAAAATTTCTAGTAGCAATTCTTGACGAAAAGTAAATTATGCCATCAAATTTATTTGACAAAATGTCAGAGAAAAATTGAAGAGAAGGAAAATTTTTGATTCAACCTAAGTCTGCCAACTCATTATCTTCACTGTTAATAAAAATTTTCCCTATGAAAAGAATAAGTCTGCAAAAATGACTTGGTATACACTGGTTTAAAAAAAAAACCAGTCTGGAAAACTAACAACTGTCTTAATTGAAAAAAAGTGAAGTTTCCTAAATAATACTTTATTTTTCTCCAATATACTCATTAACATGTAACAATTTTTATGCTATTATTGACCACCTCCTTCCACTGGACTGCAATTTCTATGAAAGCACACATTTTCTCTATTTTGTTCACAGCTGTATTCCCAACACCTGCAACAGTCATTGCCCCATAGAAGACATGTAATAAATATTTTTCCACTGTTGCATGAATAAATGTAAAGTAAGATTTCCTTGCAGCAGAGTATTCACTGTAAGACTGCTTCCTGAATGAACCTTCACAGATTGGAAATACAGTATAAAAGCAGAATTCAGTGGAGGAAGTTAAGTCTGGGAAAGGAAGTTCTAGTGAGTGATCTTGACCAATGGTGTGAAACACATACCAGGACACAAAGCAAAAGAGGTTTAACACAGACGTCACAAGTCTCTTGCGTTGAAACTCATGCACTGAACCAACAGGTCAGTGCCCCTGTGTGCACATATGCATGAATGTTCTCTTTCTCCCTCTCTCTCTCTGCCTTTTAATTTATTTTTAAAAATAATTCCAAAAAAAACCTGGTTATCTCATTTTTCTAGTTCAAAGTAGATCAGAAGTTAATACCAGAAGGGCAACACAGTTGAGACTGTCTGGCAGCCAATGTGCTGACAACCAGGAAAAAGAAAATAAAGCAGATACCAAAAAAAGCACAGGAATCTGGTAGGATTTAATTTCAATTCAAACATACCCACACATAAATAATACATAATTCCCTATGAAAGTTTTGCTATTTCAGAACATACTTAATGATTTTCACACTGATGACACTTACAATCAAGTTTAGATTACGTTCTGTAGACTCTGCTTAAAGGCAACAAGGAGGGGAGGGTATAGGTCAAGTGGTAGAATGCATGTTTAGCATGCATGAGGTCCTGGGTTCAATCCCCAGTACCTCCTCTAAAAATAAATAAGTAAACCTAATTACCTTATCCCCCTCCCCCCCCAAATTAAAGAATACACATGATTGACCTACTACTTTATAGTACAGGGAACTGTATTCAACTTCTTGTAAAAAGATATAATGGAAAAGAACCTGAAAAGAAAAAAATATGTATGGATGGATATGTTTAAAAAATTAAAAAATAAAAGTATTAAAAAAATTTTAAGGTAACAAGAACTATATTAATCTTTATTAATTTCCATAAAATTAAAAAATTTAAAAGTTGATGATTTAAGGGGACAACCAATTAGTTGGATAATTTAGTTATGTGGAATCCCCAGTCCCTGATGATGATAACAGCTACCTTTTGAGGGTTTTGTTTTGAGGACCTATCATGTGCCAGGGCCTACACTAAGTCCTTTATATACTGTTTCTCTGCTAATCCACTCAATAACCCTGTAAGGAAATATTTTAAGTCTTCCCATTTTCTAGATTAGAAAACTGAGGTGGGGGAGGGTAAATACATGTTCCAAATCATAAAGATAGAAAGTCATACAGCTGGGAGTCAAACTACAAATCATGAGCTCTTTCAACTACAGCAAGTTGCCTCCCCAACGCTAATAAGCCCAGGAAGTGAAGTATTAACTGTTAGAACTATACATCGTGGAAAGCTGGCTTCTTGGCAGAAGAATTCAGCACGGCTTCCTGAAGTCGTAAACCTAGAACCCAAAACTATATGTACCACTCTTCTTCACCTACTCTTTTTCTTTCCTGTGGTTTCCAAAGACTGAAGGCTAATTTGTGCTAGTTAATCAAGGAATTCAACAATATTTATTATGCATTTACCTTGTATAATGTTGTAATAAAAACTGGTTATTTCACTATTAACCCTCAAATATTTTCTTTACTTTCTATTTAATGAAAGATACAGAACCATCACATTATAAAGCAAGAAATGTGGGACAATGATGAGTATGGGTGATGTGGATGAAGCCAAAAGAAACTGGTTGGGAAAAAATCAACATGTAGATTTCTCAACTGGAAATTCAAATTTATGGCAGTGCTAGCTTCCATGCACATGTCACCACTTTTTTCTTTTTTAAGTTCCATTATCAGAAAGATACTTTTCAGAAGTATTTCTCTGGTAAAAAGTAGTGGAGTATTTAAGACTAGAGATATATGTTCTCCTACTGTAGCTTAAGAAATTGAAATTAGATATTACTGGACAATTTTATTTTACCTTCTGCTTGTATGAAGTCCCAACTTACCATATCTGTGCTAAAACAGGTTGAGGTAACCCAGATTGAAAAAAAAAGTTTCTAGCTTGATCACCTGTGAATTAAATGGAAAAAGTTTCAGAAGAAAACAGCAGCTGAGAGATATCCTCTTATGGCAAAATTACAAAAAGGGGGAGGCTAATAATCCCGTAAATACTGAACTGAATACATTTTGAAAGCCAAATGGTAAGTTTATAAGTAACAGTCAAATGAACCCAACAGCAATGACTTCAGAACCTAACACTTAACAAAAGTCACCTCAAAAAACACATACCATTTTGTAGAGGTAGATTGTCCACCTTAATTAATCTGCTAGTAACTAAGATGGTAACAGCTACACATTATGACAAAGTGCACCTACAGGATCCTCAAGAAACTGATGACCCATATGTCTACTTTATAGGACAGTTCTTTGCCACTCCCAATCATCTACACTTCAAATTTTTGGTATTATAATATATTTATGAAGAGTAAGTAACAATGATTAAAAGACCACATCTATGACTAAGAGTTAATAAGCTAATGCGAACTATGAGACAAACACACACAAAAACAAGTCCCCAGGAAACCTACATCTCATCTTTTCACTAAAGCTAATTCCTGAAGAGTCATTGAAGAGAAAGACACTAGAAAGGCAAAGTACAAAAGGATCTTTAGGGACACAGAAATAGGAGGATTCTTTTTTTTTTTTTTTCTTATGTTCAGAATCTGTTAATTTACTTAAGTTTCTCAAGCCAGTTCAGGATCAGAATTAAAGAAGTGTTTTCACTCAAGGACAACAGTCCAATGCTACATTACTTAAAGAATGTGGTCCATTAACCTTAACCAATTCCCATCAGTGATATGTCTGAAACAAGTGACCTGGCATCCATTAAGGACAGCAAAAGGGCTTGAGTATATTGGAGGTAAAGGAACTGTGAAAATCCAGACCCCAGGCTAAGGCAAAATAGGTAAACTGCCCCCTCAGTCATATGTGCCCACCTTCACTCTGCATAAGAGATTTTCCACAGAAATATGCACTGCGATAAGTAAAAATGTACAAATACTGACTCCAATTACCAGTAATAAATCCAGATATTGGCTTTAAACTATGGAACTGTTGGTCATGCTTCGCTCTTTCCTCTACAGTTATGGCCCAAATATCCAGGCTGCCTACAATCCAAAGAAAAGACAAAGAATTATTCGAGAAAAAAAACAAAAGTGTGCACACACACTGTTTCCATAGTACTTTAACATTCTGTCATTATGTTACAAATGATTTGATAAATTAACATCTGTTCATCCTTGGAAGTTATGAAGATAAAATTGGAAAACTAAGAGTAAAGCAAGCCAAAAAAAAAAAAGACACTGGCACAAATTCTTTTTTAAAAAACTTACCCCATATCCCTACAGTTAGCAGGACTGTATGAAAATATAAATTAATAATCATCATTTATTTACATAAACTTCAGCAATAATCTAATTTAAAACAGCATTTTCAGATGTCCTAAATGCCCCAGGTAAAAGTTATGCAAAAACTGAGCTTCACAATTAGTATCTTATGAGATTCCCTGAGAATCTTTTTGGGGTGATAAAAATATTCAACTACTAGATTGTAGTGAATTTTACGGTAGGTAGATTATAACTCACTGAAGCTGTTTTTATAAATGGGTACCCTGGAAAAAAACAAATGATGGCAAAGTAAAGGGAAAGGGCCTTAGGTTCTTCTTCAGCGTCAGCTTTTGGACTGACCAGGTAGATATCGCCTTGTTTGAGATCATCGTCACTGGAGTGCTAGGTCTCCTCAAATGAATTCACCAAAATAACTGCAGACTACGTAGGTAGAAAGCTTCCAAAAGTTCAGACATTTTCCAAAAAGGTGGGAAGAGGCAATATGTGACGGTGCCTAGCATACAAGCAAAATGTCTAAACACTGTGTCTCCCCTCTCTGCAGGGTCTGGTATGACAGTGACGGGTGGAGCAGTGGTTCATTCGGCCCTGCAAACAGAATTGCCCGACGCCTCGTGTGCCAGGCACTGCCTTAGACATTCGGGATAAAATGGTGCCTGAGGCAGATATGATCCCTTCCCTCACAGGCCTGACAGCCCTGCAACTTCTACTGCCCTGTCAGAATTTGTCCCTGCAATTATAAACAGAAGCAAAGCCCTCAAATGAAAAGACAAAACAAAAACAAACAAACAAACAAACAAACAAAACTTGCTCAGTAATTAAGATGGGGGACAAAAACAAAACACAAAATAAAACAAGAACACTAATGGTTTTGAAAAGGTGGCAGACTTCTGTACCAGAACATCACTTTTACAGATGTGATCACAGGGCTGGTGCTTTGTGCCGACTTACTCTCTTCATGATGACTAGGTTAGACAGCTGCCAAGAGAAATTCATTAACATGGCATGCTCCCTTTTAAAACAGAACAAAACAAAAACTGGGCCAGGAAGCAAAATCAACATTTAACACTTTCCTAATAATGGGCCAGGAAGCAAAATCAACATTTAACACTTTCCTAATAATGTTAGGAAAAATTACCTGAAAAACACATCTTATGCAGATTGATGTTTCAAGCAGATAAACTAAAGTAAAAATAAAACAAACAAAACTGCCATGCTTTAAATCCAGTCTTCAGAAAAAGTATAGAAGAAATGACCCCGTCACTTGAAACTTGAACAAAATAAATTGAAAAAAACACAAAACAAAGTAAAAACAACAAACAAACAGGGATGGAAGGGGATTCACTAATGAAACAACTTAGAGGAGACACGTGAACTAACACAATGTGTGTCTCTTGTTCAGATCTTGATTTGAACCAACCAACCATACCCAAAAAAACATCTAAAGACTATCAGAGAAATTTTAACAGACTTGATAGTTGAGGATATTAAGGACTTACTGTAAATTGTGTAGGTGTGATAATGGTATTGGAGTTATATCTTTAAAAGTGTTATCTTTTAGAAACATACACAAGTATTTGTGGATGACATGACCTGATGTCTGGGAGTTGCTCAAAAGAATCCAGAGGAAACAATATTGGCCATGAGTGGATAGTCACTGAAACTTTATGATGGGTTGATTATATTTTTCCCTCTACATATGTGTACATCTGAAATTTGCCACAATACCGAGTTTTTAAAAATATGGTTCCAAAGTAAATGAAAAAAAGGAAAATCTTTTTAAACTTACCACCAAAAGGTGTTGGAAACTGAGCCATGGTTCTGTTACTTTCACCTTGCTAATCGACGCCTGTAATTGAAATGCAATATTTTAAGTTTATGAAAACCTCATTCTTAGATACTTATAAACCCACTAATGACTGAAGACTGCTACCTGAGCTAGGATATAGCACTGCGAATGAAAGTTACAACCAAGGGTTCATTCATTCCTTGGCTGCACAGTTTCTCAGTGCCAGGTGCAGTGATGGGCACAGCAGAACGTAGATGAAAGACTCTTTCGCAACAAGAAGCTTTCAGTCTGGTAACTGATAACAGCGCAGGGCAGCCTAGTCCATCTACGTGACAGTTATAACAACGGCTTTTTTTTTTTAAATATACTTTTTTTTGAGTTTTGGTTCTTTGTGTTTTTTTTAATGGAGGTACTAGGGAGTGAACCTAGGACCTTGCCCATGCTAAGCATGTGCTCTATCACTGAGCTATACCCTCCTCCCAACAACTGCTCTTTCTTTTTTTTAAGAATCAACAGAATGCAGTAATCCAATCATAAAGGACAGTCAAATGTGCTTACACATATTCAAGAAATCAATCTGCTCTTTTTAATGAGCACGTAGTACATGCTGTGCACTGTACTAGGTGATTTATAGTTCTTACCTCTTTCCATCAAAATCGCACCCCTATGACATAGGTACTATATTACCATCCCTAAATTACACACAAACAAAATGAGATCGGAGAGCTGAAGTGATTAGAGCAACACCACACATCTGGTGACCAAGCTCGTTTGAGCAGGGGCAACAAATTCCACATAGCCTGTGTTGCACTCATGAAAAACATTGTCTGCGATCGCTGCTTAAAGATTTAGAGAAAGGCCATAAACAATGCACACTGTATTAATGCCTGCCCAGCACACCAAACCCAAACCCGGCTCAAAGATCCTCATCAGGCATTATTTGTTCATGAACAGTCAGTGTGAAACCAAGCCAGTCCTCTTCCTCAACTAAAAATATTCAAACTTAATATCTTTCCTTATGCTTAATTTATCAACATGATAAATGTACACAGTTAAAAATGAATAATAGTCACAGAAAAAAATCAGATAAATTTAGAACTAAAAAATGACAGTCCCTTGCCCTAATACTCCTCAATTTCATCTGTCCACAAAATTTTGAATTTCCAAAAGCTCCTTCTTATTCTCAACTATTTATTCCTAGTGTTCTTCCCTCCTCCTCCCTTTTTAAAATGGATACAACTTCTTTTACTCTTCTGTATTTTTTTTTATTTTACTATTAGTTTACTTCTGTTTCTTGCATCATTTGATTCCTTTTTTGTTTGTTGGCTTGTAAGTTGTTTTGGATCATTCTTTCACTTTTGAAGTTTTCCTCTTATTATCTGGTGATCCTTGGGTGCACCTTCATATTTAACAATGAGGCACTAAAAGATGCTCAGAAGCTGGGAGTGGATGGCAGATTTGTTGACGATGAGCTTATTCATATGATGATCAAATATATCCAGTCATTTTTCACTGGAAGACCCCCTAAGGTTAGTATGTAGAGGTTTTTTTGTTTTTTGTTTTTTGTTTTTTGTTTTTTTATTGAAGCTATTCAACTAGATGTGGTGGTTCAGCTGGCTTCTGGGGAGGAGTGGAGAAAGGCGAAGGAGATGAAGGGCCTACACTTCAGTGGGTGGACTTGGATATAATCCCTTTATTTTCACCCCTCTAGTCTGGAGATCTCTGGTCTAGGGCTCTTTCTATCTCTCCAGGAGGAAGGGGACTGAAGTAGTCATGCACCTGCTGGGGGTGCAGGAAAGAATGGTTCAAAAGATCTGGAAACAGACTTTTAAAGAATTTCCATTTTCAGTTGGAAAACTGGCATGTGCCTTTGGGAATGCCAGGAACCTCCAAGCATTCTGAAGCCTGGGGCAAACTGGTTTGATCTCATCTTTATCTGTAGGCACTAGGTTATCCTCCTCTGAACTCAAAGTACCACTCCTTTCCAAAGTTGGAAAGTTGGATGATTTATTACCTAATTTCAAGATTTACTATAAAGCAACATAACTGAGACCATGTGGGATTAACACAAAGGCAGACATACCAGGTCAATGGGACAGAAGAGTTCAGAAATAAATTTACACATTTTTGGTGAATCCATTTTTTGTAAACTGGCAAAGGCAAACCACTGGGGAAAAAATGTCTTTTCAACACACAGAAGTAGATCAACTGGATATCCATGTTGGGGGGAGTGGGAAGAAAAGGAAAAAATAACAACAACAATAAAAAAAAAAACCACTGATCCTTACTTCACAAAATACATAAAAATTCATTAAAAATGGAGCAAAATTTTGTACTGGCCAAATTTAAAACAACATAGTTTTACATTAAAACATTTCTAAAAGATAGAATATCTTCACTACCATGGGCTAGGAAACAATTTCTTAGAACACAAAAAAGCATAATTTATTTAAAAAAAAAAAAAGAGAGTGCAAAACTAGGCTTCACCAAAATGAAATGCTAGCTCTTCAAAATATGCCATTAACAAAAACAAAAAGGCAAGCCATAGACTGGGAAAAAAACATGTGCAACATATACAGCAGACAAAGGAACTGTATTCAGAATATATAAAGAACACTTACAACTTAAAAATAGTAAGACAAGTAACTTAGGAAATTGATAAGAGATATAAAGAGACACTTCACAAAATAACTCACAAAGATGGCCAATAAACATATAAAAAGATACTCAACATCATTAGACACTAGGGAAACTAGACCAAAGTGATATGCCACTGTATTTCCACTAGAATGGAGAACATGGAAAAGACTGACCACACCATCTGTGCTGGCAAAGATGTGGAACAGTGGGACTCTCAGACACTTCTTGGTGGGAATGTAAAGTGGTATAATCACTTTGGAAAACAGTTTTATCAAAAAGTTATATGGCTGCCATTCGACTCACTCTACTTCTATATATTTAGCTAACAGAAATGAAAAGTCATGTCCACAGGAAGATTTCTATACAAACATTCATGTCAGCTTTATTTTTAAGAGTCAAAAACTAGCAACCCAAACAACTGATGAACGGATAAACAGTGATATATCCACACAAGGAAATACTACTTAGCAATAAAAAGAAACCAATTGTTGCTATAAGCAATAACATGTATGAATGTCAAAATTACTATGCTTAGCGAAAGAAGTCAGGGGTGTGTGTGTGTGTGTGTGTGTGTGTGTGTGGGTGTGTGTGTGTATACATGCACACCCAGTATGATTCCATTTTTGTAAAACTTTTTTTTGTAAAACTTTTTTTAAGCAAATTTCTAGAATTTTTATGGAAGTGTTTTTAAAATTTTTTTACAAGAATATTAAATTAAGGAGTTTATAATTACCTCACATGACTCAATAGCAAAATAACATTAACAAATCTTAAATGGGCAAAGGACCTAAACAGATACTTTACCAAAGAAGTCATGCAAATGGCTAACAAGCACACTGAAAAGGCGCTCAGTATCACTACTGATCAGAGAAATGCAAATCAGAAACACAGTGAGATATCACCTCATACCAGTTAGGATGGCTACTATCAAAACGACATGGGATAACAAATGCTGGCTAGGCTGTAGAAAAGGAAACCCTTCTGCACTGTTGGTGGGAATGTAAATTGGTGCAGCCTCTACGGAAAATAGTATGGAAGTTTCTCAAAAAATTAAAATGGAACTACCATATAATCCAGCAATCCCACTTCTGGGGATATATCCAAAGGAAATGAAATCAATATCTCAAAGAGATATATGAGCTCCCACGTTCACTGCAGCATTATTAACAACAGTCAAGACATGGAAACAATGTAAGTGTCTGTGGATGGACAAACAGATAAAGAAAATGTGGGATACATATACAATGCAATATTATTCAGCCTTAAAAAAAGAAGAAAATTCTGCCATTCGTGACATGGATAAACCTGGAGGACATTTTGCTAAGTGAAATAAGTCAAACACAGACCAATACTAAGGACCTCACTTACATGTGAAATCTAAAATCGTCGAACTCACAGAACCAGAAGGCAGAACAGTGCTTGCCAGGAACTGGGGGTAAGGAATGAGGAAACTTGGTCAAAGGGTACAAACTTTCAGTAACAAGATGAATAATTTCTGGGGATCTAATGTACAGCATGGTGACCACAGTTAATACTACTGTATTGTAAACTTGAAATCTGTTAAGAGAATGGATTTTAAGTGCACTTACCATGTACATTAAAAAAAAAGGTAACTATGTCAAGTGTGGATGTGTTAATTAACCTGACTGTGGTAATCATTTCACAATGTATACATATACTGAATTATCATGTTGTATACCCTAAATCTATACTCTTTTTATTTGTCAATTATACTTCAATAAAGCTGGGGTTAAAATGAGTTTATAATTAAACAGGGGATAAAAATTCACATCAAAAATCTGTGTATGAGTGTGTGGGTGGAGAGGGAGAGAGAAATGTAAGTAACAAATGATAATTTGGGGAGGTAATTATGTTAATTTATTATTGTTATTATTCATTTTTTAAATGGAGGTACCAGGGACTGAACCCAGGACCTTGTGCATGCTAAACACCGCACTCTACCACTGAGCTATACCCTTACCCCCAACAAATAATAATTAGCTAAAACTCTATTATTAAATGCTTATTACTACACCTGACCCATATTAGCCAATTCAGCACTATTAATAACCCTATTAAACAATATCCCATCTTACAGATGTGCAACTAAAGCACAGTTTACATACAGATATTAAATGACAGAAGAGAGTCAGTCTGGTTTCAGTGCTAATGTATATAACCTCATACTTTCAGAATTAAGAAGTTAATGGGACATTCATGAAGTAGTTAGCCTAGTAAACTAACCAGCATGGAGCTGCAGGGTGAGGAGTGAGGGGATACTGTCCCAAGCAATAAAAGCCTTGGAAAACAAAACAAAACCAAAAAAAACAAAAAAAGGGAAATCAAATGTGTCTGTTTTTTTTAAGTGTTATAGCAGCAGAGGAAACTGAATGGGGGAAATAAGCTTAACAGAATTTTGCCAGATAAGTTCAAAGAGCTTTT